TTCAGGTGTTTGACTCTACTACATCAACTGTATATTGCATTGTGTGTTCACCCCATTAAGTTTCCTTCCATCATGATTTATCCCCCCATGCCGCCTTCTTCCTCCCCCATCCCCCAATATTTATACACTGGCCTTTTCAACCTATTTTCTATGCACTTACACCCAGATATTAAGAATTTTAGGAATACTATTGTTTATACTGTTTCATAACCTGACTTTTCTCTCTCTCTTCCTCTCTCTCTCTCCCTTCCTCTCTCAAAAACATCAATAAAATGAGATCAGCTGGTGTGGCTTAGTGGTTGAGCATCCACCCATGAACCAAGAGGTCACCGGTTCGATTACTGGTCATGGCACATGCCTGGGTCGTGGGCTAGATCCCCAGTGGGAGGCGTACAGGAGGCAGCCGATTGATTTTTCACTCTCACATCAATATTTCTCTTTCTCTATTCCTCTCCCTTCCTCTCTCTGAAATAAATAAAAACATTTTTAAAAAAGATACAAAAATAAATAAATAAAAGGCTATGTCATCTTACAGATTTATCATAATTTACCCAAGAAAGATCAGATTATTAACCTCAAGTTTATTTTCAATTTCAGGGGAATTGTTCACAATTCTATAAGAAACATTCTTAAGCATGCCTTGTCTTGGTAAGTACCTCTGATTACTTCATAGGAAAACAATCCTAGAGACTGAATTTTTATGTCAAAGAATAAATAAAATTCTGAGGCTTTCCATACACATTTCCAAATTACCAGCAGAAAAATTATACCTATTTATGCTCCTATCTTTAATGCATGAAAGTGCCCACTTTCTTGACTCCTTCCTAACAAATGAGTGTTAACACAACTTTTATTAATTTGGTAGGTTAAAATTCTATCTCCCTTTAATTTATATTTCTTTGCTTATTAATATGGCCAACCATTTTTTTCCCTACATTTACTCAGAACACTGGAAGCCAGACACCTCTGGCTTATGTTTAGATGCTTAAATTCCCCTTTTCCCTTAATCAGTTTGAATTGGGTTCTGTGTCATGGAAACAAAGTGTACTTACCAACACAGTGCTCTTAGGTATAATGAAGTTTTAAAACTTATGTAGTCACTCTTTATATTTTATGGCTTATTTACCTTAGATGTTTAGAAGCCAAAGCAAGATCTCACAAATACTTACCAAAATACTCTTCCATTTTTTAAAAAATTTATTGATTTTAGAGAGCGAGAAGAAGGGAGAGACAGAAACATCAATTTGTTGTTCCACTTATTTATGCATTCATTGGTTGATTCCTGTATGTGCCCTGACTGAAGATGGAACTGGCAATCTTGGCATATTGGGAAGGTGCTCTAACCAACTGAGCTACCTGGCCAGGGCCCACTTTTCCATTTCTTATTGGGTTTACATTTATTTGAATTTGAATTTTTTATCTGGAATTTAATTCTGTTAACAGTTACTAGGAGTCGTCTATAGCTTTATTCCTAGAAGTTTAACCAATTGTTCGATCATAATTTACTTAATTCATTCTTTCTTTCACTGACTGGAATAGCACCACTACCCATATGTTAAACCTAGAAGATCCTCCTAAAACACAAATTAGATCCTGTGAAAGACCTTCTTTTGATAACCTTCCCTTGCATTTACAGAGGGCTTGCAAAGTCTTAAAAGATCTCACCTGCCTGTTTGCAACCTCATCTTGCACCACTCTCCCCATTGTTCAATGTGTTCCAGATACATCAGTCTTTGAGTTCTATTATATGTCAATTATATCTCAATAAAACTGGGACACCGCCCCCCCCAAAAGCTTTGAATTCTAAAAATTGCTATCTCAAAACCTTTTAAGCATCCTGTCCTTCTTAAACATGCTATTGTTTCAGCCCATAATCCTCTTTCTTTCATTCTCCAAACAACTGGCTCCTCCAGCAAAATGCTACCTCCCTGGAGAGGCCTCTGACCACAGGTCTGTCCAGTTTCAACTGAGCAACTGCACTGTGGGGGTGGACTTTAATTGCCACTTTAAATGCCTTCAAGTCCATTACACTTTGATTTGCTATTAAACCAAAAACCAAAATGCTATTATGTAAGCAAAAAATATGGAAATAGAGTAGCAGAGGATACATTTGTTATTAGTGAAGCAAATGTTCCTTCCTGGAGGAATGAACACATTCCACATTTTGCAAAGGAACAGAGACTCTAAAAGGCCTAAGAAGGGAAAATACTCACAAATAGATGAAGTTATGTTTGATATTAAGATGTATGCAAAAGAGTAACTGATCATACATAAAGCAAGAAAGTGCCAGTATCAAAATTTACACATGGGAAAACATCAACAAAATGAAAAGGCAACATGCTGAATGGGAGAAAATAATTGCAAATCATGTATCTGATAAAGGGCTATTATCCAAAATACAAAGAACTAATACAACTCAATAGCAAAAAACAATCCAATTTAAAAATGTGCATAAGATCTGAATAGACATTTATCCAAAGAAGACATACAGTTGGCCAACAGGCACATGAAAAAGGTGCTCAACGTCATTAATCATCAGGGAAATGCAAATCAAACCACAATGTGATATTACCTCACACGTGTTAGAATGGCTATTATCAAAAAGACAAGAAATAAGTGTTGGTGAGGATGTGGAGAAAAGGGAACCTTTGTGCACTGTTGGTGAGAATGTAAATTGGTGTAGCCACTATGGGAAACAGTATGAAATACCACAAAAAATTAAAAATAGAACTACCAAATGATTCAGCAATTCTACTGGGTATTTACCCGAAGAAAACAAAACACTAACTCGAAATTATATATATGCACCCCTATTTTCACTGCAACATTATTTACAATAACCAAGATATAGAAACAACCTGAGTGTCCATTGATGGATGAATGGGTAAGGAGATGTGGTGCATAGGAACAATGGAATATTATTCGTTATTCGGCCATAAATGTGTGCCAGCATGGATGGACCTCAGGGGCATTATGCTAAGTGAAATAAGTCAGACACAGAAAGACAGACTGTATATGTGGAACCAAACAAACACAAAAAACCAAGCTCATAGATGCAGAGAACAGACTGACGGTTCCCTGAGACAGGGGTGGGGCGAAGGAAGGGTGGAAATGGATGACAGAGACTTGGAAGAAATTCCAAAGCTGTATCATCATCCTTGACAATAGAGAATATTATATGGAAAAACAGCAGTATCAGCAACTGAGTGGGAAATTGAGTGTGGAGAAATAGTGGGAATGGCTTAACCACTTAATTTTGTTTATATATTTTTTAGTGTATGCACAGTAGTAATATATGATACAAATATTTTTTAAAAATCTAAAAAAGTTCTTTCAATAATTACAAAATAGAAATTCTAAGTGATAAGCACTGTATGATAGTTTGACATTTTTTCTTTCTTGTGCTACATAAAACAATGGTGCATCTGACATTGAAGATATCTTAAATTCAGTGAAATAGATGCATGTAACAGAAATGCCAAAGGAAGAAAATAGGGTAGGGAAAAGGCGGTATTTGAAGCCATAATGGTTGAGAATATTCTGGACTCGATGCAATACATGAATCTTCTGATTCAGGAACACAAAATTCTCTGGACAGGATAGATAAAGCTAAATCCACCCTCGATACATAGCAGAAAAACTAAGAAATTCTACAGACCAAGATAACATATCAAATGCAACCAAAGGAAAATGTTGTAATGAAAGTGAAAAAGAAATAACGAAGGGGGGTAATATATAAAGGGGAAGTGATTAATATGTAAAGCGCTCCTTTTAATCAATACGAAAAAGACAGTTTAATAGAAAAAAATATAAACATGCAATGGTCAGGAAATATATGAAAAATGTCCAACCTGTAACACTTTTTGAATGTGAAAATTGAAATTTTTACGCAAACGAGCCCGGATTTAAAATCGAGATTGCTAATGTCTATAGTTAGGAAAATCGGGGGAAATGAGCATGCTCATAGTCTTGGCTGGAATATAAACTGCAACCTTTCGATTTTTTTAGCGGTCAATTTAGTAACATTCATCAAATCCTGAATGCGTACGCTCTTCCACCCAGCAATGCTATTTCGGGGAGTTGATCTCGCAAAAACCACCTAAGTGCCCAAAGGTGTTCATAATGACAGAAACTGGTAAATTAGGTTACAAAGACTACTGCCTTCCACAGGTGTGGCGTGTTTTACAAACTGAAGGCAAGACCCTCTACCAGCAAAAAGACTCCCTTGACTACCTCGCCGGCTTCACCGCCGGGGTGTGGGAGGGGCCGCAGGGCCTCCCAGGTCCGCCCGTCACGCCATCTTTTTAAAAGGTGTTCATAAAGAAAACGTGTGGCGTGAGAATAAACATACTTTATTAAGTACATTGCATACGTGTTAACGGTATGAACCCATTTTTGTTTTTTAAAACGTGTATTTGCAGAGAAAAAGAAATTTAGAAAGCAGTATACAGAAACGATTGAGTGATACGAGCTTGGTGGGTGGGTAGGTGTGGGGACGTGTAGAGATGGTGGTGGGAGCTGAGGTCATTTTGTAATCATAACTGGGCACCTTTTTACCGTTTGCCTTACAGGAACGCGTTACTTGTACAATAACAAAAATAAAGAGCATACTTGAAGCAGCTGTTCTCTTCAGGCTACAAGGCGTCTTTCCCTCTCCATAGGCTTGACTTGGGTTTCACTTTCACTCTCGGGGCTGGCGGCTTTCTACCTCCGGAGCGGGAGGCTGAGGAGGCACTATAAAACCGGAGCTCGCGGACCCCGCGTGTGAGCCTCACTGATGCCCGGACATGTCCAGCGTTTAAGTTGACAAAACGGACGGCGGTCCTACCAGACTACCTTCCCCCTCCCCCGAAAGCGCGCCGTTCCTATCCCGCTCCGTCACGTCATCCTCCAATGGGTGCTCAACGAGGGCGGGCTTAGCGCGAGATAGGCACACGATTGGTCCTGGAAGCTCTCCGCCCAGGCATGGGCGGGGCCGCGTAGTGACGTCTCGTCACGGGACGCAGAGGCGGAGCGCTCACGCAGGCAGACGCGGCGTTATTAAACGGTTGCGGGCGGAGGGTTCTCGTGCTCTTCCTTGGTCTCAGGCTCTCACCGCGGCGTTAGCCCGCTCGCTCTTCTCCTGGGAAGCCTAGGCCGGCTGCACCTCCTCTCTCTCGCCTCTAGCAGCGTCGTTGCGACTCCGCCACCATGTTCGAAGCGCGCTTGGTCCAGGGCTCCATCCTGAAGAAGGTGCTGGAGGCGCTTAAGGACCTCATCAATGAGGCCTGCTGGGACATCAGCTCCAGCGGCGTGAACCTGCAGAGCATGGACTCGTCGCACGTCTCTTTGGTGCAGCTCACCCTGCGATCTGAGGGCTTCGACACGTACCGCTGCGACCGCAACCTGGCCATGGGCGTGAACCTCACCAGGTGAGCCCGGGAACCGCAGGGTAGCCGGGCCCCCGTCCCTCCACTCCCATTCCCGCTCTTGGAGCGAGCGCCTCTAACCCGGGCGCTCATTGGCTGGCGCGGGCCCTCGCGCCGTCTCATTAGCCTGCTCTGCCGGGGGGCGGGACCCGGTGGGGCGCGCGGGGCCGAAAGCCCGCGCTGGCGGCGGCGCGAACCCGCCCTTTCCGCGGGAAAGTCACAAAGCGGCTGGTGGCGGGAAAATGACGGGCTGCGCCGGGCTGCTAGGAAAATATTGTTCCGGAGCTGTTTCGGTCATTAGGTGCCGGCGGCCTTGGCTGAGACACCGTGGTCATGGATGACTTTAACCGCTTTATAATGTCCCCTGCTTCTGTCTCCTTACTTAGCTTACTTCCGGTCTTTTATTACAAAGTTGCTGTGATCTCCCTTTTGAACGGGAGCGGAAATTTCTCCAGATCAGCGGCTTTCAACTTTTTGACCATTAGTCAGTAAACATGTTTAAAATTTTAAAAACCTTATACTTATCCATACTACATGCAATATCTTTTAATAGGCAGAGTATATCGTTTTTAGTGGTCATTGCGGCCCAGTAATTTACTCAACCACCAAAAGGATTTGCAATTCAGTATATACTGCTTTTCCGTTTATATTCAAAAGTGGCTATTGTTGGTGGCAGGGTGTGAGCTTTTTAGTACTTACCTGCCAGATTGCACTCCAAAAGGGATGGACCGGCTTACAAGTTCTCCTGTAGTACCTTTACCTAACTTGCCAATTCATCAGACAGCCTAATGACTAAAAATGGTAACTCCTTGTTTTAATTCCTTGAAATCTAAGGATCTTGAGAAGATGTCGATTTTAAACCCTGTGTCTTCTCTGTTCTAGCATGTCCAAAATACTAAAGTGTGCTGGCAACGAAGACATCATTACTCTAAGGGCTGAAGATAATGCGGACACCTTGGCACTAGTGTTTGAAGCTCCAAGTAGGTTATGCTCTTCTACTGAGTTATACTGAAGAAAATTAAAATGCAGCGTCAGTATTTTCAAAGCTGTGAGAAATTTAATGTTTTTGATGCTTATAAGATTTACTTCATAGTTAAAAGCTTACATGCCTTTCTTCAATGTTTGCTTTCTTTTGGTAGATCAAGAAAAGGTTTCAGACTATGAAATGAAGTTAATGGATTTAGATGTTGAACAACTTGGAATTCCAGTGAGTATCAGTTTCTGCTTGAGTGTACTGTACATGCAAGTTACCTCAGATATGTTCATATGATTTAAAGCCTCCTTCCTAACAGAACCGTATCTGCTGGTGCATGTTCCAAAGCAGGGTTTTAGTATTTAGGGTGACAACATATTAAGAGTAGATTTTAGAACTATGGGGCAGAAATCTATTAGATTAACTTTATCAACATTTAAGGAGAGAAGTAGTGTTGGAATGTTCAAAATTCTCATTTGTAAAGCAGGTAGACCTGCTTGTACCATCATTGTTCCTATGCCATACTCTGAATGTCCTCTCGATTTAGCCCTGGGGGGTGATTTGGGGAGGCTCTAGTTCCCTGGATTTTACTGTTAGAGTTTTAAGCTCTAATCTGTTTTCTTAGTATGATTATTCTTATAACGTACTCATTTTATATCTGCATTTATTTTTTGAGTGATTGGAGTGTGTGAAGTCACACAATGAGTGGTATTTCAAAGTAATCAAAAATCTTAAATTCTGAGTTCTCGTTTAGATGCTGATTTTTCATGAAGTGAGGATACCTACCAAATATTTAGTTTCCAGCAACTGATCTTTAAGTTTTTTTGTTCTATAGGAACAAGAATATAGCTGTGTAGTAAAGATGCCTTCTGGTGAATTTGCACGTATATGCCGAGATCTCAGTCATATTGGAGATGCTGTTGTAATTTCCTGTGCAAAAGATGGCGTGAAATTTTCTGCAAGTGGGGAACTTGGAAATGGAAATATTAAGTTGTCACAAACAAGTAATGTTGATAAAGAAGAAGAAGCTGTAAGTAGTTTTGAAGTAAACAGAAAAAGTACTTTGAAGAGAATTGTAACACTGCTTAATACTGGGTTATGTCTTAGTCTGTTTGGGCTCTATAACAAAATACCATAAACTGGTAGCTTATAAGCAATAGAAATTTGTTTCCTACAGTTCTGGAGGCTGGGAAACTGGCAGATTTGGTGTCTGGTAGGGACCTGCTTCTTGATTCATAGCAGCATTCTTACCTGGTGGAAGGGGCAAGGGAGCTTTTCTGGGGTCTCTTGTAAGGGCATAACCCTATTCGTGAAGGCCCCATCTCCGAATACCGTAACATTGGAGGTTCAGTTTTAACATGAATGGGGGGACGACACAAACATTCTGTCCATATATTAAATGTTAAAACTTAGACAAAACTAAAAAATAGACAGAATTGCTTTTCTGTGTAACTCATTTATGAGACGTGAAAAATACTGTTGAAATCTGCAAGTGATTTATATGTGCCATCTAATTTATAATTTGTGAGCAGGGAATGCAAATTCAGTGCTTCCTTTATAAATCACAGAACAGTGTATTAAACCCACACATACTCTTAAGAATAGGATTGGAAAGCTAGATGTCTAACCTTTAGCTTTCTGGAGGTATTTACTCTACTTTTAACAAATAATTCAGCACAGGAAATAGCAACAGAAGGAGCTAGTTAGGGGTAAAAATAATCTAGCTCTTATGAGCTCTTGTATAATCCACATTTAACAAAAAATAACACTCTAATTCCTTAATATCCTTAAGTTAGCGTTTTCCTGTAATCAAGTGGGTTTTTTGTTTTTTTAGATTCTTAGAGTTGTTATAAACTAAAATTTGGTCATTGTATTAAAATGAAACTTCATTTGCTAGCCTGTGAACATCAGTTAATTATAAATCAAGAACAATTAAAGGGCATAGCCACAGGATTATTAGGATTAAATACGGTAATAGTCAAAGTGCTTAACACAGTATTTGGCTTATTGTAAGTGTATAGTAAATGTTAGATATATTTTTTTTGTCCCTTGCTTGAGTAGTCAGCTCGGTTTAAATGAAGGTAAACTCTGTTTAAATACTTTTATTTTTAATATTGAATGCTCAACAATAAAGCTGACAGTACATAAGAAAATAAAAGGTTTGTTTTTTACTACTAATTTATTTCACATTCTTTTATTATTATTATTGGTTTTTAGAGAGGGGAAGGGGAGGAGAGTGAGAAACGTCAATTTGTTGTTCTACTTATTTATGCATCCCTTGGTTGATTCTTGTATGTGCCCTGACCTTGATTTATCAGGATGATGCTCTAACCAGCTGCACTACCTGGGCAGTGCTCACATTTATTCTTAAATCTCCTGTGTAAAACACTCCCACACTAAGTGAATATATGTGCACAGCATAGCAATGTACCTTCATATATTCTCTCTGCAACATGAATTTAATAATATGTTATGGATTCTTTAATAATGAGCAGGAAGATTCAATGTGCGGATCTCAGGTGTGTTTGTGCATTGAGCAGGGAATCCTTTGTTGAGTTACAGCTGTTCATACTTCAAGGGAGATCTCTTATATCGCTATTCCTCTGACATCAGTCTAAATTCTTTTAAAAAATGATGTTAATAGCAAAAGCCTGGGGACTAATTCCAACTTTTATCTCAATTACTTTCACTCCCCTTGCAAAATTCCATTTTTAAAAATCTCTAACATTAGTTCATCCATAAGTATTTTAATATTACATGAAGTATAAACATTGAACTTTACCACATACTATAAGAATATTATTCAATTTTCAGTGTTCCTATTTCTTTGATCATGTCAGAACTGTTTGAATCAAAACTTTAAGGTCCATACATTGCATTGCAGTTGGTTTCAGTCCATTGGTTCTCTCTTCAATTTGGTTTTGCTTCTCTGTTACAATTTCACTTGTTGAAGAAACTAGGTCATTTGTCATTGAGCTTCTCAAGAGTCTGGGTTTTGTCAGTTCACCCCTTTTATGTCAATATGTTCCTGTACCTTGTTTTTCCTATAAACTAGTAGCTGCCGCTCTTGAGGCTAAATACTCAGGGTGTTTTCTTTGTTATGGGGGTGGGAGAGCAAGAATACTTAATAGATGGTGGTGTGTACCTCTAATAGGAGTCATGAAGTATCTGAATACCTTTTTGTGATTTTAGCATCCATAATAGTCATCGTCTAGATTCATTAAGTCATTACGTTTTGCAGTTTTAAGATTTTTTTATGTATCTATCTTTTTTTTTTCTAAATATATCTTTATTGATTTCAGAGAGGGGAAGGGAGACAGAGAGAGAGACAGAAACATCAATGATGAGAGTCATTGATCGGCTGCCTCCCTCATGCCCCCGACTGGGGATCGAGCCCACAACCCGGGGCCATGTGCCCTGATTGGGAATCGAACCACAGTCTCCTGGATCCTAGGTCAATGCTCAACCGCTGAGCCATGCCTGGCCAGGCAGGTTGTGAAATACTAATACCATCTCATTCCTTTTTCATTTATTAGCTGGTTTATTTTCTAGAGACATTTCCATAAAGAGAAGCTCTTATCACCTAATTTGGTTACTTGAGATTGGTTCATAAACAGAAAGGCAAGCTAGATACTTGATTCTTTTGCTTTATTAACCTGTTTTCAAAATTAGTTTCATAGCACCCTAAAGTAATCAATAAAAGTTTTTTTTAAATGTGTGTTACAAATTAATGGGTTGTAACTTTCTTGACTTTTTTTCAATATGATGAATCTTTTGTTTTGTCTCTTAGGTTAGCATAGAGATGAACGAGCCAGTTCAGCTAACTTTTGCACTGAGATATCTGAACTTCTTTACAAAAGCCACTCCACTGTCTCCTACAGTAACACTCAGTATGTCTGCAGATGTACCCCTTGGTAAGATAATAAACTTGTTGAATCTTGTTTTGTAAGTAGTGTATGTGGTATGTTTCAGTAATTAACCCATGTTCTTGTCTTCTTTCAGTTGTAGAGTATAAAATTGCTGATATGGGACACTTGAAGTACTATCTGGCTCCCAAGATTGAGGATGAAGAAGGATCTTAGGCAGTTTTAAAATTAAAAAAAAATAAAACTAAGGTCTTTGAGAACTGCTTCTGAGATTCTAACATGCCTTCTGTCACCAAATTTGTACCTGAGTACATATGTAGATAATGTTTTCTGTAAATAACCTATTTTTTTCCATTCTCTACAATTTAAAGGATAGTCTCAATCAAATCTGGTCTTATTAACCTAGAACTACTTCTGCCTTACCTAGAAATACTACAAAGGGTTTTGACCATTAATGCAATTTTAAGAATTGTGTTTTCAATTTAAATAAAAGTTATTTGAATTTCAAACATCAAAGGACAGTGCCTTCATTTGAACCTTGACTGTTGCAAGTATCTAGGAAATTCACAATTAGTGCTATCTTTTTGTGTAAATGTTTTATTTTTCCTTTTCAATCTAGAGCAGCTAGATATAAATATATTAGATATAGCCATAAAAATTACTCCAAATGCAGTAGGTGACAAGATATTTGGGGGGATTCATTTGTCAGACTTATTTTTGTATTCTAACTTTTGAGCTCAAGAAATGAATGGGAAAATAGAACAAAGTCTATATATTTCAGTGTTTTGTCGTTTTTAGCAAAACTAATAGTTTTTCAGAAGCTTAATGTGCTCAAAGTTGTGTGGGCTTTATAAAATGCATTGTTACAGGGCAGTGTTTCTTTAGCCTGGGGAACCTTTTACAAGAATCTTATGTTACTAGATCTGTGATAGGGCCCAAAGAGTGTATCTGCAAAAAAATTTTCTCCAGTATAAATAGCCTTACTTGGAACTTACTCCCCTAAAGGATGAAGATTGCTTAAGTCTCATGGGTGTTGGATTCAACCAAGAAAGGGAAAATGCCCAGCAGTTGTGAAACAGACCGTTTAAATGTTCCCAGTAATTGTGCTGTAAGGTAAAAACTGGCATCCTCCATACTGAGAATTGTTTTATTACAGTACTTTTTCCTGTTGTATTTTGTGTTTGGTGGGTTAAATGACTGGTTTTTGTTGTACCTGGACTGAGTTCTAGTGATTGGACTTTAGAACTCACTGTCCAGTGGGCAACCATTACTTTAAGAGTGCCTGGGATTAAGGAGATTGGCAGCACAGGGCCTGATGGAAGTTTTTGGAGTGATGAAACTATTTTATCTAGACTGGTGGTGGTTCCAAGACTGCGTTTATTAAACTTCATCCAATTGTACTTTATTGTATGTAAGTTATACCTTAATAAAGATGACATTTAAAAGCTTCACGTGTGGCAAAATGTCCCTTGGGGGCGGACCTCTTACCTGGGCAAGGCCTGATGACCAAGAAGAGGGAGACAAGTATAAGTGTGGGGTCAATCAAGAGCGAAGTTGTGGGGTAAAGACTGGCAGACTGCGGCTCGGCCCCAGGGAGGCTGGCTGCCCGGGGCGATTGGCCTGGCAGCCCCCATCCTACTGGAGCCCCTACGGGCTCGGCTTCCGCCTCCTGGGGAGCCCCCTGCCTGAGGCCCGGAAAACGCGTAGCCAACTTGTCCGGGCCCTGACTGTGACCCAGGCGGGCGGGCACCCCAGAGACCCGCCCTCCCCCGCGGAGGTGGCCGGCAGCGAGCCCCAACCTCCCGCCGACCCCTGGCCCTCGCGCGGGGCCGAAAAGATGTTTCCGGAAAACGGGATGAAGCGTCGCTCCTGGTGACGCCACTTCCGCGCGCCAGTTCCGGCGCGGCGCAGGGTGGGGCGGGTGGCAGTTAGCTGAGGCGTGTCATGAGCCTCTGGGCCTTGAACCGTGCGGGAGCTGTGGGCGCGCGGGCGGCTCGGCGCGGGGCGGGCGCG